CAAACCTGGAAACCCCAGTCTAATCGGGAGAGAGACTGTAGTAAATCACAATAGAGGGACAGTCTATAAAATGCCTGACCTAACAATATGAGGCCAAGCCCCCTGCTCCAAAAGAAGCTTAAGAAGATAAAATGTCTGCATGTTAGGTGGTATTCTGAATGGGATTCTGGATATGAGTCAGCATGTAAAAAGGAAGAAAATTTGAAAGAAATATGGACTTAATAAAGCAGTTAATATTAATGTATCAATATCAGCCATTAATAGTAACAAACATTCCATACACATATGTTATTAATAATAGGAGAAACTGAGTGTGGGGTATTTAAGCACTATCTGTACTATCTTAGCAATTTTCCGTAAATGTAAGGCTACTCTTTAAAAATAAAGTATATTAAAATAATACAAAGTAGATAATCACCATAATAAAAATGGAGACTCCTGGAGACAATAGTTACTCAAAAGGGTATGTGATTAAGATTTCTACATTCTCAGCATATTTTCACACTGAAAATAGACTATTAGAAATGTATTACTTTTCTCTAGAGTTAAAGGCAGAAAAACTCTCAATTCCTTTCATGATGCTAACATAAACTTGCTAAAGCCTTAACAAAAATAGAACATACACCACAAAGATATATCCACACACTCTGCAGAAAAATTACATTTATAAATACAGATGCCAGTTCCTATAAAACATTATAAAAGCAAATTGACATTGAAAAGTAATAAACCATGGTTCTATAGACTAAATAATTGTATCCCTGCTTCCAATCTGTGCATTGAAACCTACTCCCAATTTGAGAATATTTGGAGGTGGGGTCTTTGAGGGTTAATTAGGTCGCCAAGATATGACCCATGTGAATGGGATTAATGAACAAGAAAAGAAAGAAAGAAGGCAGGCAGGCAGGTGGGAAGGAAAGAAAAGTGGGAGGGGGAATAGGGAGAGGGGAAGAGAGAAAGAGAAGAGAGTAGTAGAGGGAAGAGCTTAGGAAGAGTTGCCAGGGCTAACTCTGTGCTTCTGCCGTGTGTGAACACCGGGAAAAGAAAACCCCATCTTGAACTGAGAGCTAGGCCCTTATGAGACTCAGACTGTTGGCACCTTGATGTTCGACTTTCAGCTTCCTTTGCAATTAAAAATTTTTGAATAATTTAAGAATCAAACGCAGTATGAGATAAATCCCTATAATTAGATGGAGGCTAAGAAAAATTCAACGGCAAGTTGAGACAAGAAAAGAAAATAGTTACTCTGAAAAGAAAGCAATTTTACATTTTATTCAAATCATTTTATGCGACTTTTCCCCCCAAATTTCCCCTGCTCCAAATGTTCACCATATTATAACACGTGTCAAAAGAGTCATTAAACCAAAATATATCCTGTAAATATGATGGAGGAGATAAAATAAACATTATTTATTGATAATTATGGCCATCTCGCAAAAACAAATCATTTCAAAAATGATACAACTAATAAAAATTTAATAAAATACCCAGTTGCCAAATTAATATAAAAACAGTTTCTTGGTATAGTAGAAATAGCTACGTAGAAATACAGAAAGAAAAAAACTGCATTACCAATAGCAACAAAAATATAAAATAACAAGGATGGAGCTTAGCAAGCATGAAAAGATACATAATGGATCTTTTGCAAAAGAGAAGGGGAACAAGGGATGGAGGAAGGATGGAAGGAGGGGCAGGGAAAGGGATTAAATGAGGGAATAAAGGTGGGTTGTGTACACGTAGCAACACCCCGTGAAGAATGCAATCACTACGTACTGCAAGTGTGTGCCGACAAAAAGAAACATTTAATTATAAAAGAAGTATGACAGGTCTGACTTAGAAAAATTGCAAACTTAAGTTAGGGACATAAAAGATGTTAATAAATCAGAAACCATTCCATGCTCTGGATTAGAAGCTTCAATATTTTAAAGATGCCATTTCTCTCCAAATTAACTTATATATTTAATGCAATCCCAATTAAAATTGGATGAGATTTTTTGTTTGGAACTTGACCAAATGACTCTAAAGTTCATTTAGAAGAATAATTATGTTAGAATCGTCATGAATAGACCAAGAAAAATGAGTAATGAGATTGACTTGCACTATTGGAAATTAAATTATCACTGTGGTATGGTACCAAAGTTGTCAGACAGATCCATAAAACTGGAAAGAAAATCCAGAAACTGAGTTAATATGTATAATAATTTGGTGTATATTAATGGTGGCAGCTTAAAATATTATGGAGGGAATCAGCTATTTGTTAGATGGATTTTCAATGGAATATGATGGGGGTAATAAGATTAATACTTGAAAAATATAAATTCAAGCCTTCTATCATAACTTATACAAAAATAAATTCCAAATATCTCCATTTTGCTTGAAAATAAGAAACCATTAAAATACTAGAATGTATAAATAAGTGTTTATGTAATCTTGTGGTGGTGAAAGATTAAAATGAGTAGACTCTGGCAGAAATGAATAGATTAATAAATGCCTTTGACTATAGAAATGTTCATAACTTGTGAATAGAAAAAGCAAACCCTCACTCACTCATTTACCATCAGGGCAATTAACATTGTTAATTCCATAAGCAACATTAAAAGACAAACTGTGAACATTATTTGTAAGAAATACTATAAACAAAGGTTTAATGTGCTTGATCTGTAAGAGTTTGTACAACTCCGTAAAATAAAATATTTCAATAGAAAGACTAAGATAAGGCAGCTCATGGGATATGCACATAAAATTTTACCATTTTAGAAAGTTCTGAACTTCATAGCTATCAAGGAACCATAAATTAAAACATCATTAAGATGCCATTTCTTGATTACTAGGTGGAAAAAATGATGAAAAATATTGATAGTATCCAGTATTGGCAAGGGCATGAGTAAACAAGCATCCTCATATACTGTGCGGTAAATTCAAATTAATATGACAAATCTCTAGAGAGCAGATTGGCAATAGATGATCCTAATTGAAAATTAGTATATCCTCAGGTGTAACAAATCAATTTGTAGAATCTAACCTAAGATCAAAAGATACATGTTTAAAGATGTTATTGTCAGTATTAGAATAGGAGAAATTAGAAAATTATATATCGATGTTCAAAATTAAGAAATGCATCTAGTGCATTATGGTATCTTGGCACAATGGAATACAATGCAACAGTTTAAAAAGGTAATGTGTTAGGCTTTATGTATCAGCTTAAAATAAATTTTTAAAAGCTGAAAAACATGATGGAAGATCTATATTCATTGCATAATATCATGTTTTCAAAATAGAAAGTGAGAAAATTGAATTAAAAGCACTTTTCATAGTATAACATTTCTCTATAAATGTGTTCGTGCATATGTGTGTGATTATAAATATTGATTATTTCTGAGAAGATTTTTATTTTCCTCTATATAGGTGTGTGTGTGTGTGTGTGTGTGTGTGTGTGTGTGTAAGAAACTCCATATGTCTTACTAATACTCTGTAGTGCACTGTGTCACACAGAGCCTTAGGAAAGGTAGCTTATCTGTTCCTTAGTGTTCCCATCAGTAAAATAGCATTTGCTTTATAAGTTAGTGTAAAAACCAAGTGAGTTATGTATAAAATGCTTAGAATAGCACCTGGCATGTGCTAACCTATGTTCAATAATTTGCTCTTATCTTTATTACAATTATCATTATTACTATTACTATTCTCTTCCCTGAAGTCCAACAGGAGGGGAAGAAGACAAAACTTTGGGCAGCTCTGGTGTCTTATCAGTACTACTCCCTCCTTTACCATTTGGCCTGCTGGATACAGAGAAGAAATCCATGCAGATGCTGGGAGAGGCATGCAGAGTGGACTGATGTGTGAATTTTGCTTTGACACCTTGAGGGACCTCTATAAATGATCAGGTAAGATGTAGGGAGCTACATGCATGGGCTGGGCAAGGGGGCCAGATCAGGTGAAATTTTCATGATTTTGCTATCAGACCTACAGGCTGGTGGAATTTGTATAATTAGGTAAATTAAAGCACACAAATAGTACATATTAAGCTCTCTATTTAGGGAACTAACCATAGTCTTTAACACACACTTTAGTCTTTCTCAGTGAATGTTGCTCTTGTGATGTTTGAATAAAGTCTCCTGCAGGCACGGTTATGGAGAATTTCCACCAGAAGATCACCTGAAATTGGAGTAGCTGGTCCAATCTGTTTTTATTTTAGGGAGTCACCCCTCATAAAGCCTAAACTGAGCCCCTGACAAGGAAGCAGGTCCTTCTACTAAACCTTTTATTCCTTAGAGACGGAGTGACACTCAGCAGCAGCAGATGGACAGCAGCATCTTGTTTACCGTGTTGATTTCATATTTATGTGTGTGTGTGAGATGAATGCTGGGCATGATTTACGTACTCCAGAAAATGTTGCCTGTAATGTGGAGACACAAAACCATTTAAAAGGAAGAGTAATCACAGCACATGTTATTCATCTTCTGCAGCCTCAGAACTGTGAGCTGATTAACTCTTGCCACAGCTGGCTGCTGGGAAAAGCTGTCAGCCCCCACCTCCACATGGCTCCATCCTCCCTAGCTCCTCGCTGGCGTGTGCTTCCCTGATCCCTAACATTCCAGTTCTACTCCTGAATCCCCTTTTCTAGGGTTAAGAATTAATTCATGATATTCTGTATAACAAGATGTACTGCTCACCCTCAACAAACCATTTGCCACCCTTTCCGGAAACCTGTATGCTCATGTTGGTTACTAGTTAGTTGTATTGTCAAAAACAAACCTTCCTTTTCTTCTTGTAGGTTTTCTTCTTTTCTTTTTCTTCTTTTTTCCAGAATCCAAGATCATTTCTTTCTCCTTAGGTCTTATCAATTCCCTTGGATAATACCAATTCTTTATAGGTTGAGACCACTGTAATCATTAACCCAAAATGAGGGTCAGATGTCCTTCCTGTTCCATTCAAGATCCCCAGACTATCCAGGTAACTGGAATCTTTTTGCCAATGAACACAATTCCTGGGCTAAGTTTTACCTATGTAATCCTTCATCACTCCACTTGAAATCTTTGCTCTGTTCTGATTGTTTGCTTTGACCTTTGAATGTCAGCCGCTTCATAATGGAGTCAACTTCTAGAACTGCATGAATTGTTACTCTGATACTGTTTTATGTGCCACTCACTGTTCTAGGCACTAGAACCATAAGACAACAAAACATACTTGTCTCAGCCCTCATGGTGATGACATTTTTATGCATTATGGCTCTCCATAAGAACAGAATCAAGAGAAAAAATATATTGTTATGCAAGAGGATTTAATAAGTAGGCTTATGGGATCAGAGGCAGTAGAACCCACCATGGCCATCTATGTACCAGAGAGCCAGATGATCCAGTAGTTCCCTAGCCCAAGAGGACAGAAGCTGCAGAACAAGAGGGATCAAGAATGCAGCACCTGTCCAAGATCAAAAGTGTGGAAGCTTGCTGTGGAGCTGCACTTTCAAGTCTGCATTGGAAGTTGTTGTCCAAAGACAACAGGGAGGATTGGAACTCTTCCAAAATGGGGATACTTCCTTCTTTTCCCTTTTGTCTCAGCCAGGATAGAAGCCTATTGATTAGTGCCAGCCACATTCAGTGTGGTTTTCCCCACTCATTTTGTTGGACTACATGTCAGTCACCCAAAGACACACCAAAAACTGTGCCTCACTAACTTGCTAGGCATTTGACGTACTACATAATGGTCACAACATCTCAGTAGAGAGCAGAGATGTTAAATAATTAGTAAACTTATTGGGAGGATAAGTGCCATGATGAAAATAAACAAGGTAATGACTTAAGAAGTGGTGGGGCAATTAAGTAACATTTACTAAAAGTTGTGAAGGAAGTGCTCTTTGGTGAGACAGGACATTTTCACCAAGACTTGAAAAAACAGAAGTCAACTATGAAACTGTCTAGGGAAGTAAGTTCCAGGCAGAGCAAACAAAAAGCAAAAGCTGTGATCTGTGAATGAGAAGAAGGTGGTTATATTCAGAGAAAAAGAGGCAGCATAGCTGAAACCCAGAATAAAGAGAACAGATGCTAGATCTATTTCGAGGGGGAAACTAGGACAGGTCACCTAGGGCTTTGCAGGTAGTGGAAAAGACCTGAATGCCATGGGAAACCTTAGGGTTTTCATGGAGAAGTGGTGTATCTGATTCATTGGCTATATCCTGATTTTCTTTTTCCATTCAGCCTGGGAGCCATCATTTTCAATGGCCTACATAAAGCCTTTGATGGTATCCCACTTTCACATATGACAGCAGAAAAGAATGGTCTCATTCCATCCTGGACAATCACAATGCTGTCCTTATTTCCCATCAGCCAGCCCACTGGGGCTCATTTGGCACTCTGATAATCTTCAGAAAGGAATGTAGGCAGAGAAAAAGAGTGGAGACTGAGGAAGATAAGAATGTGGGTAGGAGGGTAGCTATAAGGGAAAGTCATGGGTGGGTCTGTGAACCAAACTGCCATAGATCAGGAGGTAAATCTTGGGCTGTAGGCTGAGACAGGCCAAGGAGGGGTTGCAGTGAACCCACTGCTCTGGAAAGAACTTAGGGCAGGTGACATCTTTCACTGTACATTTTCCTGAATGGCTCCGATTCTATGGTCCATAAGGGTGTCCATGTTCCTGCTTCAGTTGTCAGATCTCATGTACTTCATGGCCTGACCTCAACTAAGAGTGTAAACTGTGAGTATAAGGTGGGAATGGGTGAAAATTTGGTTCTACTGAGACCTGGATAGACTGCTGTTTTTAAGTCAGGATTTTCTATCTCAGGACTAGAAGAAATTACAGAATTTCTTGTAGCTGGAATTTGGCCTATTGCTTTTCATGATTTAAAGTCTCTGCAGTCATGAGGTTTTATGACAACATGTGGGAAGTTAGAGAAAGTTAACAATCTTTTGAATGTGTATTATTGTGTTACACTTTACACTAGAGATTTTACATATATTATTTTAGTGATCTGCCATAACTCCACAAGATGGACAATGTTAACTCATTTTGTATGTCAATAGTCACAAGAGCAGACATTAACACACTATTCTTAGCATAGGCAACTAGCTACCAGCCAGCCAGTAAGGGATGGGGTGGAGCTAAATCTGAGCTTGAGGACAGGCTTCTAAGGACTCCGGCCACCTGGCTTTCACAGCTTCAGTACTGTGACATTGATCCCTCCATTTGGTTACTCTGGCTGGTTTGAAGGCAGAGAGTGCTCTATAGGCCTCTCTCGGTGACTTTTTGTCCTAGTATTTAAAAATCATTAGGATTATTTTCATCATATTTAATTTTCTATATATGTGTGTCTTATCTCCTCTAGTTATGTTCTTCTTGAACATGGTAACATCCTCTTTAAAATGTTTTCCTCACCAGCAATGCTTTTCCTAGAATAAGGCACCAACAATGTTGATTACAGGTGGGTTGACAGTTCATAGTGTGGTCAGTTCAGACAGCTTTAGTGGTACATAAGAGCATCAGGGGAAGGGTCAAGCACACACTGACCTGGCCCCAGGGAGCATCTAGCTCACTACAGACAACACAGCAGTGGAGTTAATTTAAGACACACATTGAACGTCCAACAATCAGTTGCATTCCCTCCACGGGAAGGAAAATGGGAGAACAGCGTAAAGGAAGGGAAGGTGCCATCTGAGTTTTCTGTTTTCTGATCTTTTGCTATTTCTGGCTCTCCTTTCAGAACCTGTTTGAGGTCTCTTTCCCTCTTGTTAGTCTTGCTGGATTCTGTGTACTCAAGTGTTTTCCTACAGTGCTCTTCTTTGTAGTAAATGCTTGCATGGCAGTAGAATTACACTGCTGTCTGTGTCTTATCGTGAATTATTTGTTTGTGAGGGTTGTTTCATATGAATATAAATCTATTAGAATTTAAAAGCTTTTGGAAAAAAGAATGTTATCCATAAAAGATGTCTAATACTTTTTTTTTTTTTTTTTTTTTTTTTTTTTTTTTTTTTTTTTTTTTTTTTTTTTTTTTTTTTTTTTTTTTTGGTATCAGAGATTGAACTTGGGTCCTTGTACTTACAAGGTGACAGCAGCGCCGCTGAGCTAAATCCCCAGCCCACGTCTAATACTTTAGATAGAAAAGAAAACAAACTTTTTATATTTTCTGCAAGTAATAGCTAAGTGACTTCATATAGTATTAGAGCATCAGTCTTAAAGACAATTAGATTGTCTCCTCTTATTTTACATACCAAATTTGACCTCCTATTACTGTCCACCATATATTTATCACTGAAATTTATTGTTTGATTAGTTTTTGTCCTATATTTGTATTGAAACAAAATTTTATAGTTTTGTTTCATAAATAATTGTTCAATGTTACGTTTTGCAGAGGATTGTGGAATACCATTCTAAATTTTGTACTCGGCTTATTTTACATACCAGCCACCCTCCATATCAAAACTCCTTCAGTTTTAGTCTAAAAATTAATTTAGAAGCCAAGGAGGATGAAAGGCAGAGGAGTAAGGATGAAATATAAATGCCTCCTGTGTTCTGAGCACGGCTTCACAGTTGCTGGGGCTGTGAGTTCACAGATTGTTCTCTGTGAATTCAAGCGCAGGGAAGTCTGGGACTGCAGTCTTCTGACAGTCAGCCAGTATACAAATCCTTTCCAAGGAAACTGAAGCCGAGAAAGAGAAAAATGCCTTGCATGTAGGACTGGCCTTCAATATGGACAACTCAGCCCCACCAGCATCATAATGGAGAAGCAAACATCCAGGTAGGAACAGGTAACAGTTGCCCAGAGTTACCCTGCAAGTTAAAGCTAAAAGGAAAGTGAACAAGTTAGGCAAGGGCGCCAAGAAAGTTTTTAAGTAGACCCAGGCATTAGAAAGGCACTGGACTCACTTACTCACTTAAGTATTCTGTGTTTCTGCACCGTTCCCCTATGGCTGGAGTCTCAGGGCCTGCTCTGTCACACATGCAAAACCAATCTGCTCCCGTGACATGGAGCATGAAAGTTCATCTCCTAAAACTTTACACCCTATTGAAAGAATATAATAGTGTTAAAGAAAAGCTAATTCTGTGATCCTTTTGCATCGGGCTACAGATGGGATGCCATTTTCAAGGGACATTTTTTTGCCCCAGTTCCCATCAAATAGCTCCTGAAATAGGCACGATATGGCCCCCTTGAATAAAATAAAATACCTTATTTAATTGCCTGAATGACACTCAGGATTGTGCTGCCAAAGCAAGTCCAAACAAGCCCAACCAGAAGCAATATTAAAGGGGGAAACTCGGCTAGGAGACAGCTCCAGCCCCAGCCCACACTGACTGCCAGCTCAGGCTAATGGAAATGAAATCATGGCTGGGGAAATGCAAATGAAATCTGCAAAGGAACTGAGAAGAGAAGAAACCATTTCCCAGGGTAATGAGCTCACTGATTACAAGGATGACACCTCAGCCTGACCTCCAGGACTCAGAGCCATCACACTCAGGGGACAGAACTAAGGACAAGCGAGACGAGAGAGACATCTGAACAGTGACATCTACACACTCTGACACAGTCCTGTTGCCTCCGTATAACTTCAGGGTGCCAGAACTCTGGGCCCAGTTCAGCTTGCTTTGTGTATTTCTACCATCTGCATGGATTTGTGCGGGATCCATTGCAGTCTTACTAATTGTCGAAGCAGCAGTGTTGGATCTTCCAGGAGAGCCCAACTTTATATATTTATCACCTGTATTCAATTACAAGGACACTGTACAGTCTGTGTCATTTATTTCTGGTCCCCAATGAGCTGAGATGGAGAAATACATTATCCTAAACTAGGTGGTAATCTTTCCCCCGTGGATATCTCACAAGAACTACTGTGACAGAATTATATTGGGGAGATCCACAACCAAACTGCACAATACTTAATATGTGCTTGTGTAGTGCTAGCAAATGTAATCATTCCAGCCTTCTTAGGATCAGGGAAACTACGGAACACTGTCAACATGAGCTTCCTTCCTTGGCCCCCCTTATCCCTCCTCACTCATCTCTAATCCCAAAGCTTTTCAGCAGTCACCTATTGAGAGTGAGTATTTCAGCTATCGTCATATCTTGGACAAGAACCTCTGAACAAGTAGTGTATTTGGGAAGTAATCGCAGAAAATACTAGATGACTGAGCAGGCAAGACACGGAATGAAAGACAGCAATAAAGTATGTGTTAGCAAGAAAATATCCGCCGTGGATAACTGCTTAGGGAGTCTGCGGACTATCTGCCAGGCAGTCATCCCACTCATAGGGCTGGCCGATGGGCTCCTTATGCACCAAGCCTCACCATTCATTAATCAAGGGCTTTTGAGGAAGGGCGCCAACGCTCTAGCCCTTCAGACCCACCACACACATGAGTGCAATGGAACCACTGCACTCAGGCAAAGTGACACTGCTGCTGTAGTCAACTACTGGAACTTACAGTGTAAAGACCCGGGCAAGAAGGGGAAGGGTCACTGGACATGATTTCACTGCATTCTCCCTGGCAGAGAACCTGGAGAAAGATATCCTACATGCCACTCTGTTTCCTTCTTTCATGTGCACTGTCCTTTGCTACCCAGATACAGCCTCAGAGAAGCACATCATGCTTGTATCAAAGGAATATTCAGAGGAAGATCCAAGGTGGAGAAATCTCCTGACTGGGAAGACGATATGAAGATCACCCCAGACTCAGGTGCTCAGCTGAGAGGCCACACTGGAGCTCCACCAGTGTGTATTCTGAGACAGAACTGCACCCAACCATCAGGAGGAAGGTGCTGAACTTTTGTGCTCCCCACTCATGCATTTGCCCAGGCAAAGCAGGTGTTGTAATCTGCATAACACCGAGGCGTGATACTGTCACCTGGTACTAATCGTGTTTGTTAGAAATGAACTCTTTCCACTATGGTCAGGGAAGAGAAGGAAATGAAGCATCCAGAATTTTTGCACAACCGTAAAACATTAC